CTCTTCTTCTTCTTTGTCCTCTTCTTCTGCTTCTTCTTCTTTCTCCTTTCTTCTTCTGGTCTTTCTTTCTTCTTTCTCTTTTGTCTTTTTTTTTTTTCGTCTTCTTTTCTTCGTATTCTTCTTCGCCGTCTTCTTTTTCTCTTCTTCTTCTTCTTCTTCTTTCTTTTCTTCTTCTTTGTTTTCCTTCTTTTCTTCTTCTTCTTCTTCTTTGTCTTTCTTCCTTCTTCCTCCTTTCTTCTTCTTTGTCTCTTCTTCTTCTTCTTTGTCTTCTTCTTCCTTCTTCTTTGTTCTCTTCTTTCTTTGTTTCTTCTCTTTTTGTCTCTCTTCTTCTCTCTCTGTTTCTTACTTCTTCTTTGGTCTTCTTTTCTCTTCTTCTTTGTCTCCTCTTCTATCTTCTTCTTTGTCTCTCTTCTCTTTGTCCTTTCTTTCTTCATTCTTGTCTTCTTTCTCTTCTTTCTTCTGGTTCTTCTTCTTCTCTTGCTTCTTCTGTTCTTCTTTTCTTTCTTCTTCTTCTTTCTCTTTTCTCTATCTTTCTTCTCTTCATTTACTTTTGGACTCATTTTTATCTTTTCTTCTTCTTTCCTCATCTTCTCTCATCTTTCTTGTCTCTTTTTCTTTCTTCTTGTCTTCATTTTTGCTCCTCTTTGTTCTTCTTCTTCTTTGCTCTCATCTTTTTACTTCTTCACTCTTTGTCTCATTGCTCCTTCTTCTTCTTTGGTCCTCTCTACTCTTCTCTTTTTCTTGTGTTCTCTTCCTTCTTCTTCTCTCTATTCTTACTTCTTTGTCTCCCTTCTTCTTCTTTGTCCCTCTTCCTTTCTTCTTTCTTTGTCTTATTGCTCTCTTTTTCTTCTTCTGTCCTTCCTTCTTCTTTCTCTTCCTCTCTTTGTCTCTTTTCTTCTTTCTCTCTTCTTTCTTGTCCTTTCTTGTTCTCTTTCTTTCCCCTTCTTCTTTGTCTCTTTTTTTCCTTGTCTCTTCTCTCTTCTTTTCTCTTGTCTCTCTTCTTTTTCCTTCTTTGTCTTCTTCTTCGCTCTCTTCTTTGTCTCCTTCTTCTTTGGTTCTTCCTTTCTTCTTTTTCTCTTCTCTCTTTTGTCTCCTTCTTTTTTTCTTGTCTCGCTTCTTCCTTCTGTCTTTTCTCTCCTCTCTCTCTTCTTCTTCGTCTTCTTCGTCTTCTTTGTTCTTCTCTGTTCTTTTATCTTCTTGTCTCTTCTTTCTCTTTTTTCGTTCCTCCTTTTTCTTTCTCTCTTCTTTCTTTCTCTTTTTCGTTCGTGTTCTTCTCCTTTTTTCGTCTTTGTGTCCTTCCTCCTTTTTTCGTCTTCGTCTCCTTCTTCTCCTTTTTCTTGTTTGTGCTCCTTCGTTCCTTTGTGTCCTTTTTTCTTTTTGGGTGTCTTTTTTTCTTCTTCCGTCTCTTTGTGTCTTTTTCTCTTCGTCTCTTTGTGTCCTTTTCTTTTCGTCTCTTTGTCTCCTTTTTCCTCTTTCGTTCCTTTTCTCCTTTTTCTTCTTCGTCTTATGTCTCCTTTTTCTTCTTTTTCTTCCTTTTTCTTTTCGTCTCTTCGTCACTCCTGGCAATATCATGAGATTTTCCTTCCAATTGCAAGGTTATTTTTCAATTTTCTTGTGAGGGGTCAAGTTTTAGGAACCTTAATCACCGATTTTATTGATAGTATTGTTAATTTTAATTAGGGCGGGCATTTGAGGTTTTCTTGTCTTAACATTTTGGTAGAAGTTTACTATAACATCAGTATATAGGAACCCAAATAGTCAGTGGCTTCACCATTTGTATTTATCACTTGGTTTAGTAATTATTCAATTACAACAAAGGAAATAAATATGTATAAATTCATTATGTATGGATTTTTTATTTTACCTTAATTCCTTAGTTACATTTGCATTGTTTTTTTTGACCTAAAATCTTTGGAGTTTTTAAACAGTCTGTGGATGAACATCTAAAATTTAATTTGAAAAGATTTAATCTTGATTTTTTAGATGTTCAAAAAACAATTTTACATACCCGTTTTATATAAGATAGGGTGATATGTCTGACATCATCGACATTGGAGAACTGATGAAGCAAAGATATAGAGGTGAACTCCAGACATAGTAGAAGAAGAAGAAGAAGAAGAAGAAGAAGAAGAAGAAGAAGCAGAAGCGTGTGGTTGATTTCTGTCTTTAACAGGGTGACCACTCATTTCTTGGAACAAATTTCTAGTTTTTCCAGAGCTTAGAAGACTTGTAGAGTTTTCCACAATATTTAAAAAAAAAATATTAAAGAAAGATTGATACTAATTTGTTGGCTATCTGAGTGTGAAAGTACAAATAAGAAAGTTACTCAAATAAAAATCGAGTAACTATTTCTTACTGAACTAGTTTTTTAAAGGAGTAATATCTAGTTACATAATCATCTTACAATTTTCTGTGACTTCTAATGATCCTCTACAAATTCTCTGATTTTTCCAGACCAATGAAATTCTCTGATTTTACTCAATATTCTATTATTTCTAAAAAGTGGCCACTCTATTTAAGAATAACCTCAAGAGTTCCCTGAAATGTCATTCTATTAATATCCTAAAATTAAACAATCCCAGTGCTTGGGTCTTGTAATTTTGGGAAGATCATGAAAGGATGATCATCAACAAATGTAGAATGCAAGAGTAATATTAAAATAATAAGTATATTTCACAGTACAGTCCCTTCACCAATAGAAATTACAATTTTTAGAACTCTTCTCCCATAAAATAAAAAAAAGGAGGAAAAACTTTTCATTCTTTTTCCATTCCTTTAGGCATTTTTTTAAGTCCTGTTTTTATGATTGAAAATTCTCTTCTTTTTCAGTTTAATATTTTTTTCCTTTAAAATCCCTTCCCCTTTGTAATTAATATTAATGACATGCTTGTTCATTTATAATAATCAAGAACAGCTCGTAATTACACTTTCCAGTAATTTGTCTGAAAGCAGTCCTTTTGATTATGATGATGCATTTCGTACATTTAACAACCAATGGAAATAAAGACTGTTTCAGAAAAATCTTTATTTTTTATAGCCTTCACAAAAGTGAAAAGAATCTTACCTTCCTTCCATAGGGCCCGGTCAGTGCCCTGAAAGCGCACGCATTTCACAGGATGGATCTCTAGCACATTGAAGAGGTCAGCCAGGAAGACTATCAGGTTCTGCTTCATAGAGCTGTCGACAGAGAGCAGGATAGTCGAAGCACTACAAGCTGGAATCGGCTGGCTTTGGGGGTCATCAGGAGGGAAGGGAAGCAGAGAGGAGGCAGAAGGTTGACTAGAACAGGAAAGAGGCCTGCGAACAGCAAAGGAACAAAATGTGATGGAGTACTTATGTCTGGGGGAAAATAACATGAAAAGATCATGCAGGCATTATTTTTTTTTTTTAGCTTGAATTTTCTGAAGCTGTTCATTATCTCAACTTTTCAAACAAAAGTATTATAGGATGCAATTCAATGAAAACATGGAGGCTGTTTTAGGAACAGAAATATATAAACAAATAAATTTGACAAAACCAGTGGTGATAGAACAGCACATCCTTTCTCACATTATTTCTAAATTTGAATTTCTTCAATTTTGTAGTTTTGAAATGTAAAATTTCTGCAATTTTTGAAAATAGAGGGAATTTGCACTATAGCAAAATGATTTATCCACTTTTTTGTTGTCAGTGCACAAGAATAAGAGTTTTTCTGGCTTAAATTCACAGTCCTCTGCACATGATTAGAATACTTTCTCTTCTTACAAAATAAACACAAGAAAGTAAAATTAATCTATTGCCTAGCTTGAAAAATAAATGGTAGTTGTGTCACATTAATGAATGTTCTTTGTGAAAAATCCTTCAAATAAACCGTAAGGATCAAGAACAGCAAAAAATGTAAGATAATGTTAATGCAAGAGTATGATAAAATTAAATGGTGAATCAGCCCCAATTATACTGAAGTCCTTGAAACTTACCCTTGCATATATGTGACATCCTCAGGCATCATGTGGAACACAGAAGCAGGTAAACAGCGGTTACAAAAGTTGTATACCAGCATGAGGTTGTGCATGGAGTCCGAGATGGAGGGCACACGGCCAACCACCACTTGTGACCATGGTAGTTCTTCAGAACAGTAGAAAGATACCAGTGCTGCCAAGCTTATCCCATTACTTAGGTCTTTCCACTCCCGGACAATTGGCAGGTCAGGAAGGGCAGTGGGCGTAGAGGCTGACCGATCACTCTGCAGCAGGTCATGTTTTACAAAATAAATAATACTTCCTTAAAATTACAAATATCAGTCACTCAGCACACATACATAAAAAGTATTAAATGAAAGCTTCAAGAAGATATTCACTGCTAATGTATCAGTATTTTGCTGGAGACTGTTACTCTTAAAATTCTAAACATCTGTATAAACTTTTATACTACTTTTACATCTTCCAAGTGGCCACTCATTTCCAGGAACCAATTTTCCCAACAAAAATTGATTGCTGTAGTAATGTTGTACTAATCTTTTTAAGGAATAATATCTTGATACACAACAGACTTAAAATTTTCACCGACTTCTAACAATTCTTCGAATTTCCCAATTTTTCGACCTTTTCCAGAACAATAAAATTACCTTACTTTCCCCAGTTTTCCATGATTTCCAGAAAGTGGCCACCCTTACCCTGTACACACTAATATAATCACATTGTGTAATATAGCCAAATGAATGCATGTGTAAGTTTTCTTTGAAAATGATATACATACAGATATTTATATAACACTTTAGTAACCAATATTACTGCTGAATTTCATAATTCAAATTAAATAAAAATGGTAATAATAATAATAATAATAATAATAATAATAATAATAATAATAATAATAATAATAATAATAATTAGCTACAAAAATTAAATATTTCAATAGCAGAATTCCCAACAAAAAGTCAAAGGTTATTTTTCTTTGCAGAAAGCCTGTAACAATTCAACAAAACCACTATCAACAAAATTTAAAAATGAATTCATATGTTCGTTAATAACACTCATTGATGCCAATGAACACTCTTATTTATCTTTAAATGCAATAGCCATAACATGAAAGCTATAACATTTTTTTTACAAAATTAATCTGAAGTTCATTTCCTTGAAATAGTGGAAGTATGTTCAAGAGAAATAACTTTAAAATTCTGCACAATATTTTAATTGTCTAAACTGAAAAATCTGCTAATGTTTCAAGAGAAGTTAAACAGAATTAGTCAAAAATCCCAATTTTTGACAAACAATATTATTACATTACGAAAAAGGTTGTTCCATCATCAAATTTATGATTGGTTATTAACAAGAAAAACTAGCAACATTGTGCTTGATTAAAACTAATGATACAATTGCTACAAGTTATAAAATTTACAAAAGGCATTAAACTCTTAAATTAATGCATGTTTCTCTATGACCGCAAAAATAAAATTAATTCTCTCAATGTAACAAACACTGAGAGCATACAAGAACTATCATTATTCAACGAGATTCATAATCATAATAAATTTTGTCTTTTAAGATAATAATCTCCAAGAATTTAACCATGGAAAACATTTTTTCTGAAGGTAAAATGTTTATTGCACAGTAGTCTTACTATATACACAAGTTTATTTAAACAAACAATTTTCAAAATTCCATGTGAACACAACAAGTTTTATCAAATTCCCATGAAATGGAAATAAATTGTTAACATCAAGTTTAACTGAATTAGTCTCAGAATTTCTCAAAAATTGGTGGCAATATTCTTTAAAATTTTTATTTTGGATGTCTACATTTTGAAGCTAAGTTCTCAGAGTTTCTTATTCTCTATTCTCACAGAGAAACATGAAAGATAGGCAATGAACAGACGAAAGGAATTACATTTTTACTGTAAGCCTGTTAAAAAGAAAATAACATGCAATAATATACTGTTAATAAATCTCACAAAAGAGAAAAATACAGCAATTTCTTCACTCCAGCACTGCAGAATTACCAGAATCATGCTATCCAGCCTATCACAAAACAAATAATGTGGTACAAATTTAAATCAATAACATCACGTGGGCTTCGTTTATCCAATCAAATTTCAATTCTTTTTATTCAAAGTAGCAAAGTGTAATGCTTACAAAAATTATTTTTTAATGAAATACTTACTATCTGTTATAAACTGATCGAAATTGTTTGGTCAATTGGGGTAACAATTCTCTTTCATTATTTTTAACATTATTTGTTTAGCAGTCCATATACACTACTCTGACCACACCCATGAGAATAGTAGTTAAATTAACTTCAAATTAAAATCATAATTAATTCAAATAAATTTATAAATTACTCGTACATTACACAAATTTATTAGAGTTAGGAGTTGTAACTGAAAGAGAGATTTGGAAAAGGAAAGAAAAAGAAAGAAAGAAAGAAAGGAGAAAAAAAAAAAAAATCATTAAATGCATTGAGAAGCAATGCACTAGTAAAAAGTGACTCAATGTTAAAAACTCTGGATAAACAATGCAAAACTGTACATGCAAACAAAATACAACAATAAACCAGAAAATGAACTTTAAAATCATTAAGTGCAGGAGAGAAACACGCCCAATCAGCATCACTGTGCAAGATGCTTATAAATACTATCCGCAGCACACACTTAGCTACCTACATTCAATGTAAACAGAAAGAGATTGTTAGTCTAATATCTATAAGGACAACCTCACATACGTACTGCCTGAGGATGTCAACTTATGTGCAAAAAAAAACTCATGCAGCGCACACTCGAGCGCTGACCGCGACGGCAGCTGTTGGCTACATAGGTGCTGCCAAGACACCCAACACAAGCAGCAACTCAGCGACTCAGTTCTGTAGTGCGTAATGCCCAAAGGTGAAGGAGCAAGGGGGCTACTGGTGGAATGGCCTCAGAACAAAGATGCTAACATTCACACCAATAGAAGAAATTGAGCAGTATAGTGATTTTTTCATCATTCTCTGAGTTGATACAATCATTTTACTGCATTACAGTGATTTAGATGTGTACTAGTGCACTGTGTTTTAGATTAGCAGTCCATGCACAATTGTATTTACTCGTCCCAGAACACAGCCATCTTTCAGCAAGTTACCAATAAAGAGGAGAGTGAAATGGGCAGCTACTATCATTTGTTTTCTAAAAGTATTGTATTACTTCAATGACACTGTGACTAGCAGACACTGCAAATCTTATTTCAAGATACAAACTGTCAATTTAATCACAAGTGTATCATTAATCATTGTTCTGAGGTCACTCCATTCACAAGCTAGCCAACCATCAGTACCTCCGTGCACTCAATGATATGAAGCCATTCAATGAAGCCAAACACGAGCTACAAAAAGGCAACAAAAAAGAAACCACAGTGGATTGAGGCGAGCGGTAGGTACCGTGGCCAGCGGCTTTTCACAGCCTTCAATGGCTGGATGCCCCAGTGCAGGGACAGCTAAGCAGGAGTTTATTGCACGACCCACTGATGAAACGCAGCTCACAGGGATGGGCACTTCACCCACACTCTCAGGTGTACAATCCTCCCATCCTGCCCCATCAGGGAGAGTCTTGGTATATGGAGATTGCTGGTTGACCTGGATGGTGACAGTGTCCTTTGGCTTCACCTGCAGGTGCATGGACACAGTCCTTCAACATCTCTATATCAATTGCTACACGTTCTGCTGCCATCACTAAGAACCAGAGGATAGCAGAACATTAATTTACCAATTTGGAAAGCAACTTGTAATTATTCCTGTATAAAAAAGATTGCATTTTATTCCTTATTTCTGCACATATATATTTACCATTATATACCACATATATTTTTTTAACTATATTTCATCTCAATGCTTCATTTTTTCAGTCTAAGACTAACAAAACTAACATTTTCCCAACAAATTTCCTGTTGTTAATGATTTTATCCCTGATATTTTAATTTTCAATTTCATCACATTATATATTAGGTTTAAGGAATAAAAATTCCTGTGAACTTATTTATAAAATGAAAATTTCTAGGTAATTTCCATAACACCATAATCAAAGAAATTTTAACTCTATTGTCTGAAGATTATTGGATGATTGTGCAAGAAACAAATAGATTAAAAAAGTATATCAATTGCTAGCAGAAAAACAAATCTTTGAAGTTCTTCCCTTACCACAATAGCAAATTAATTTACATTTATTTCAAAGAAAAAAAAAGTTTTGGGGTTGTTAAGGCTGTTTTGGGGAAAGTTTTGTAATGTGCATAAGAATTCGATGTCCAATTTGTTAGTAAGCATTCATAAGAGCACCCTCCAAAAATACTTGTTACTTGATCATATTAAAATTCATTACATTGTATTCTCAGGCATAAGTTACTATGTCTGAGGAAATCTAGGAATCACTGGGAATCACAAACATTTTGACAAATCCCTGAACAGACATATTACTGGTCTCCTGATGACTATTATTTAACCAAGCTAGAAAGCTATAAATTCGATTTTTTAGCAAACAATTTTCAGTGAAAACGGTACAGTTGCAAAAGCTTTTGGGTTACTGGAAAGAAAATGCTGAAAGGAAGAAATGAAGAACGTCAGAATTTCTAGATGATTGCCAACACCACAGCCTCTTTTTATGCTTTCAAGTTTGCAAACTTTAAACATATATCTACATAATACAACAGCAACAAACAACTAAAGGTCTCTCTTTCCTCAAGTCATTGCTAAATAAAATGGGGCAAAAAAAGTAATTAGTATTAACAAGAACAGCACTAGTTAAACAACTACTTTACAGTTACGAGATATTTCTACCAAGTGCAAAATAAACAAACAATTGTATACTTATTATCATACACCCACACATATCGCTACTTAAGATTAGTACATACACATACATTAATTTGATATATTTATGATATGACTACTGAAAAAAATGAACCCTTGGTAATGGTTATCTACATTAAACTAAATGTATTTACACATTTATACTGAAGAACATGAATGTCACTCATCCAATATAAACAAAGCCGCCAGAATTAACACTAAAAGAAAATCTAGAAAACTTAACATGAAAGAAACATAAACATACAAAACATTTCATGTAATATGTTTCTAGTGTCTGACACTAGAAATGAAAGTTTTGCATAACTAATTTCAAAAAATATGCACAAAATTATCTACATAAGTTAGGTACTGAAATTTTGCAATTCAACATATCCTACTTGCACAATATTACTTATAGAGGAAGCAAGAAAAATAG